ACTGTCATGTGAGGTAGGGAAAGCTGAGCCCAAGAAAATACCCTCCAGGCCTGGATAGGAAGAAAGGGTGTGTATGTGGGAACTGGAGAGAGAGACAGAGAGAGAGAGAGAGAGAGAGAGACAGAGAGACAGAGAGACAGAGAGACAGAGAGAGACAGAGACAGAGAGACAGAGAGAGGAGGGAAGGAGAAAGGGAGAGAGACAGAGACACAGACACACAGAGAGATGTGATTCTCTGGGACCTGTCCCTGGCCCGTCAATCCTTGGGTACACCATGAGGTGTGCCATGGGGGTCAGGACTTGCCTCGTGGTCCGGCGCTCATTAATACTATGATTCTTTATGACTTTTCCAGACATTCTTACTATTATTTTACCCTCCCCTCTCATTCTTCTGCATTTGTATTCCTTGCCCCTCCCTAATTAAAAAATCCACATTTCTTCCCATTGCCTCCTGTCAGATCACTTGTACCAGACTAAATTAATCTCTTTTGGTAAAACTCAATGGTATTTCTCCTTGTTGGGTAAATGAGATATTTTGATTTTTGAGACTATTAAGTGACATGATAATCCCAATTCTATTAATTTTTCACTTCAAGAGTTTGATTTGCTGATGCAGACAGAAAGTATGTTAAATATGGCCTGACTGAGGCGCCGAACGAGACAGTGGAATTGGAACTCATAATTTATTTTTAGTAATTCGGTTTTAAGTACACGGACATAGCATATAACTCCTGACCAAATATGAATTGCTGATTTATTGTGAATTCCACTGTCCTGATAGCTTACACATAGAGGGTGGATTTCAGTAGATCTTGATATGGTTATGGAAAAGGACATAAAAAGACAGACTATTGTGACATGCTGAGACTCGCTTTGTGCCCTCATGGGCCATTCTCACAGAAGAAAACCTTCTCCAGGACTAGGGAGATGGTTCAGCCAGCAATGTGTCTGCAGAGGGCCTGCCACACGAGCGTGAGAACCTGCATCTGGATTCCCCGCCCCCACATCAAAGCTGGACATGGTGATGGCCTCTGTCCTCCACATGCATTCACACACATGTACACACATCCACACAAAACAAACATACATAGTATACACACACACTTGTACATATTCACATAAAACACACATACACAGTACATAGTATACACACACACACACACACACACACACACACACACACACACGCACACTTTCTCATTACAGCATCTTTTAAATTAACTGCAGATGTCACTGGATCCTGTAAAACTGCATAGTTCCTCCTCCAGAAAAGGTCATGACTTTATTAAGAGTTTTATTGCATCCCAGACTTCCTTTCCCTCTTGAACAACACAAACTGTAAAGAAATCTACTTCCTTATCGGCTGATGTCTAGTGTCTTTTTCCTTCCTTTTTCAATAAGGAGAGACAAGACAACAAATCGCTCTGGAGAATGTGGTGCCTGAATCCATCAGAGCTGCCCGCGGAGAGTTTGCAAATATTCTCTGTTGTCTGCTCTGACACAGTTCATCCTATATTTGGTCTGTTGGGACACTTACAAAGACAAAGCCTAGCTGGAGAGAGTTCTTGTTTCTTTTGCTTTGAGATATGGCCTCTTTGGAGACCCAGGCTGGTCCTAACTCTTGATCCTCCTACCTCAGTCTCCGAAAGCCTAAGTTTACAGATTTGAGCTGCCATACCCAGAACTGGCTTTTGGCTTTAAGTGAAACAGAAACTGTGAGATACGAATGGAGGGCATTCAGGCTAGTTATCAAGTACCAAAATCCATGTAAGAGTGAAAAATTCTAATTACTCAGAAATTCTGACTGCAAAGATCAGTATTTCTCTTACTAGGGGTGGTGGTGGTAATATTCTTACAGTTCAATCTACACTGTTTAGTAAATGGAATTATTATATTCAACTGAGCTCTCATGTCTAGTTATCATATTTATAGTTTCACTGGACTGAAGAAGCAGTTTTGCTTCTGCTGTTTGCTTCTCTATGTATGCCTGTCTGGAACTTCTGTGTAGATCCTGCTGGCCTTGAACTCTCAGAGATCCACCTGCCTCTGCCGGAAGCAGCTCTTGTATACTTACATAGGTTGTTTTCTTGGTGATATCACAAAACTCAGGTATGCCCTACAGCATTCCATAGTTGCTTCTCACTAAATGCATACTGATTATTATATTAGCAAATAATTGCACTTCTGCCACTTCTCCACGATTATTTCTCTCAACACTGAGTTGTCAGTTCAACACTGGGGTCTGTTACGCTGATTTTAAATATTCACTAGTGTTAGACAATGTGGGCGTCGTTAGCTTCACTCAGAGTTTTATTACACTTGTCTTACACAGCTGATACTTGGAAGAGTGAGTTTCAGTGTCCGTATATTGAAGCATCAGTCTTTTTTTTTTTTTTATCCCAAGTTTATTGAAAATGTTCTGTTGACACTTGAAAGTTCTTACCATAACTGAAAAGAAACAAAAGACTAGGAAACACCAGGCTAACGCAAGGGCTTCCGGCAGTGTTTTCTGAACAGGAATGCTTGCAAACTTCACCTGAACAGGAAGGAATACAGCAGGCCAATGGAGAGCGAGAAAAGTGTCTGGTAGGGGAGCATTAGCAAGGTGTGAATTAGGAAGCACAGGTTTAATTTGAGGTGAATGAACATCCAGGATGCACATGTTAGCTTCTTATTTGGGTGATAACATACCTGACGAAAGCAAGTGGGAGTTTATTCTGTCCTCCAGTTCAAGCTGGCCATGCCATGGCAGCAGGAGCTTGGGGCAGCTGCCCGTACTTTATCCACAGTCAGACATCGCAGAGTGGTTAATGCTGCTAGTCCACTTACCGTCTCCTTCCCCAAACCCCTTTTCATATATTGCTCCCATAGAATGTTGCTGCCCACGCTTGGGGTGGGTTTCTCTGTCAAGCCTTTCTGTAAGACAAGCCTCTCTGTAAAACACTGTCATAGATACAGCAGGAGGTTTGTTTCCATGGTGATTCTAATTTCCATCAAGTTGATAATGAAGATTAACAATTACATTTAATAAGCACATGCATACAGAAAGCAATAAGGTTATGTGGATGATTTTATAGATTGTTTCTAAATTTGCCGTGCACGTGAATAGAGAATATTTAAAAGATGCAGTATGTTTTTCCAGATTTGTTTTTCGTTATTTTATTTCCTTATACTTTCACACTCATTTATTCCTGTGTATGTTTCTGCGTGGGGGCATGCTCATGCTATGGAGTGCATGTGGAGCTCAGTGGACTGTAGCCGGTAGTTTTCTCTGGTCCCGTCCAGCCCCATGGTCCCACAGAGGCTTAATATTTACAAACTATATGACCTATGGCAAGCTTCTTGCCAGCTAGCTCTTATAGCTTAACCCAACCCATAACTATTTAGCTATGTATTGCCACATGCTGTTCCTTGGATAGCCATTTGGCTCTCCCTTGCCTCTGCCTTTCTTCTACCTCTCTCTCTTTGGATTTCCTGCCTGGCTATAACCTGACTCACCATAGGCCAGAGCAGCTTCTTTATTTACCATCATTTACATATTCACATTGTACAGAAAGACATCCCACAGCAGTGGACAGCCTTTGGGAGTTAGTTCTCTCCTATTGTGTGGATCCCTGGGATCAAAATCAGGCCATCAGACTGTCTGGAAGCTGCTTTACCCGCTGAACCATCTCGCTGTCCCATTTACAAACTTTGTAGTTGCATGATATTATGGATGCAAAAAATGTATAAAATACAGATCATAGGAAAATCTACTTTTAAATTTATAATACTAAAGATTCTATAAAATATCAATGTATATGTATGCATGTCATATTCATGCATATATAATATATATACAGTTCTAGGAATAGTAACAAAATGCACAACCATACACATTCCCAGCACGAAGTTACAGAACTTTACCAGGATTCCCACTCCACTCTGTACCCCCCCCCCCCCAGGCTCAGCCCTCTGTCTGTCACACTTCCTCAGCCTCAGCTTTCTTGAATTCAGTTGTCTCACACAGGCCTCTAGATTTAACCTATCATTGGATTTTTCAAACAGTTCTCCAGTTTTAAGTTAACCTTTAGACACATGAGATAATGATGCTTTATAGACAAGATTCTACTCAACATTCAGCAACATGTATGTGCACTTCATACAAGGCCAACTCATTTTGTAGAATTTTATAATAGCATTTATTTGATTCTCCAAGGGCTAGAAATGTGAGTTGCTTTTGGTTTTCCTATTATAAATAGTACAAAATTAATAATCTTAGTATTAGTTTCCAGCTAGGTATATTATAGATACCCAAGACTACACATAGATAGAGACATAAAAATGGAATTACTGGCTATGAGATACTGATTATTAACTTATCTCCAAGTACAGCAAGTTGCATCAAAAACTATTTTCAAAATGGTTGTGATGTATTTGGCCCAAAAGCAATTCATGGGCGTTCCTCGTCTGCCACCTGCTGGCCAATGTCTGACTCAACATGGTCAGACTGTTGTCCACGTGACAGAATAATGGTAGGTAGTGGTCTCTGCTTTTTCTTTCCTTATTACAAATGCAGTTTGTAACAAGGATAGGCGAATATTGTTTTACATCATTACGGAAATTTTGGTATGACAATTTAGAACTAGATCATATTTAATTTATAGCTTATTTTGAGGAGAAATAGTTGGTGGATCTTTAAAATAGTAAATCATTTTATAATCTGCATACAGCCTGTGAATTAAGATCTCCAAATCTTTAAATAACATTTAAAAGATTTTCTTCTTGCATATTTCCTCTCAAACTTGTCCCTAGAAACTTTTGTGGCTTTTATTTGGATATTGTAAGCAGTGTCTTTCAGATTGCATTTTCTGATGTTTGAAGTGGAAGTTTTTATATTCACCGGTATTCTAATGATGTATCTGTATGCCCCTTTTAATTTTCTTTGTAGAAAATTATAGCATATGTTGCCAATTGCAGTTTCATTTCTTCGTTGACTGTCATTTGTACCTTTTTCTAGCATTACTGTACTGGTGAGACATTCCAGTGTGTACTTGAATGGAGGTGACAAGTACTGCTGTTTGCTTCCCAACAAACCTCTTCAACATTTTGCCGGTAAGTCCATCATTGTGTTTTATAACCTTAATGAAGTTAGAAAATTATTTGCCTTTAGTGTATTGTTTTCTTTTAGATTATGAATTAATATCAAATTGCATTGTTCTCATTGTCATTTATTGCTATTCTTATTATTAACCATCTATAAGAAAGCGGACTGAGCAAGCCAGGGAAAGCAAGCCAGTACGCATCGCTCCTCCATGGCCCCTGCATCAGCTCCTGCCTCCAGGATCCTGTCTTGTTTGAGTTCCTGTTCCTGACTTCCTTTGGTAATGAACAGCAACATGGAAATGTAAACCAAAAAAAAAAAAACATTTCCTCCCCAACTTGATTTTTGGTTATGGTGTTTCATCACAGCAATAGAAACTCTAAGACACACACCATGTGTCTCACCCAGTAAACCATCAGCGCACAGAAGGCAATTTGTCAGAAATAAATTCAATCTCCTATGGGTCAGTGTTCTAGACAAGAGAAATCAACGTAGTTTTGTTAATCTCTAGACCAGTGGTTCTCAACCTTCTTAATACCATGACCCTTTAGTATGGCTCCTCATGTTGTGGTGACCCCCAACCATAAAATTTTTGTTGCTACTTCATAACTGTAATTCTGCTACATTATGCATCATAATATAAGTATCTGTGTTTTCCAATGGTCTTGGCAACCCCAAGGGGGTCACGAGTTAGTTGAGAACTAACTGAATTGATCTGGATATCTGGAGTTCCTTTGTAAGGCAATTGCAACTGGCTTGGATTTTCAAGCATATTTCAAACTAATGAGTAGTAAACACGCTTACAGTAGAGAAGTGTTCACAACAATTTGTTTTGTGTTAATCACAATCTGTGTTTTGAAATGGTTTCTCTATCAATTGAGGAATCTGCTAAAAACAACCATTAACAGTTTACCCACTAATTTAACTGAATTAATTTGTCTTCCTCAGTTTTGTAGTCTCACTTTGCATGCCTAATAACTCCCGATCTAACGTTTTCTCTAGATTTTTTCAGAGACTATTTTCTACATGATTCCCAAAACCAGTGAAAAACACTGTGCCTGCTCTTACATTTGGTAATGGTCTCCTATCAGTAGGATGCTGTAGACAGGCTGCACAGAATTAAGAATTGAATGGTGAGCTGGGTGGTGGTGCACGCCTTTAATAACAGCACTCAGGAGGTAGAGACAGGCGATCTCTGTGAGTTCAAGGCCAGCCTGGGCTACAGAGTGAGTTTCAGGAAAGGCACAAAGCTACACAGAGAAACCCTGTCTTGAAAAAACAAAAAACAAAACAAAAAAAAAGAAAAAAAAAGAATTCAATGGTATTGAATGGTGGATCAAACATGATCAGCTCATAGACTGCTTGATGGCTCGATGACCTTAAGGAAGTTAATAACTGCTTATAACTTATGTTTTCTGGTTTCTTATCTACAGCACACTATGCTCTAGCTAAAGAAAGTCCTATTTTGGTCCTCTGAAATTACTATTCGCTGTTTGGGATCAGAGCTTTCCAGATACACTTCCCTCCAATGGAAACGTCTCTCATCTCATCCTTTATCTGTTTTTTTTTTTTTTCTTACTCTTCAACTCTTAGTTTACAAACTATTTCCCCCAAGAGGCTTTTCTGGAGCTCTACAAATATTTTTTAAATATTTTTATTTTATAATTAATTTAATTTTACATATCAGCCATGGATTCCCCTGTCTTCCCTCCTCTCACCCCCCAGAATTCCCCCCCCCCCAATCCACTCCCCATTCCCACCTCCTCCAAGGCAAAGTCTCCCATGGGAAGTCAGCCCAGGCTGGTAGATTCAGTTGAGGCAGGTTCAGTCCCCTTCTCCCTACATCAAGGCTGAGCACTACAAATATTTTGCTTTCGAAGTGTCATGACAACCACCGGGTCATATTTACTATGATTTGTTAATGAAGGGAAATGTACAAAGTGAAATGAATTGACTAGCCAAAGGTTATAAAACCTGCTAGACGTCAGAGCCAAGGCATAGTGCCAGGAGTGTTATCTACATTTTCATCCATTATTCCCACCTGAGAAAAGCAGTACTCAACCCCACCCTCATGATGCACAGCCTCAGTCTATGCCTAGGTAAGATACGTGTCTTCTCCACATCACCCTAAGCTGCAGGAGATGAAGAAGCCCTAAAGGCTCCTTGTCAGCTCTTTCAGCCTCCTCAGAGGAACATCAAGTACTAGGGTGTAGTGGAATATTATTTTAAGGTGTGTTACTTTTGTTTATGTTGCGTTTGTTTAACTCTGTGAAGCTGTGTTACTGTGCCTGTTAAAACACCCGATGGTCCAATATAGTACTGAATGGCCAATAGCAAGGCAGGAGAAAGGATAGGCAGAGCTGGCAGGTAGAGAATATATAGAGGAGGAAATCCGGGGAGATAAAAAAAAGAGATGGAGGAGTGAAAAGATTTAGCAGCTAGAGAAGGAGGAGGACTCCAGGGGCCAACCCCCCAGCTGCACAGCCAGCAAGCCACGGAGTAAGAGTAAGATTTACAGAAGCAAGAGAATGGGAAAAGCCCAGGGGCAAAAGGTAGATGGGATAATTTAAGTTAAGGAAAGCTGGCTAGAAACTAAGACAAGAAAAGGGTAGGTGTTTATAACTAAGAACAAGCCTCCACAAGTAATTATTTGGGAGCTGGGTGGTGGACCCCCAAAAGAGTAAAAACAACCAAAACACTATGGTCTTAATCTGAGCCATTGCCTCTTTGTCCTGTTTTCTTCTTATTGCCATTGATAATGGACCACAGTTATTTACTTAGATCTTATCATGCAAAACCCATTGTTCCCCTCTTTTTCCACTTGGCTTTATAAATTATTCCTCTAGCTATAAATTATTCCTCTAATTCAGAGACCTAGGTTTCACCATGGACTGAGCCCAGTTGAAGCAGAGGTACCAGCCTTTTGGAGATGTCAGTACCATAGGATGACCACTAAGAAGAGCAGTAGCTGTGGAATGGAGCCATCTTGAAGCTATGAGAAGTTACGTGTGCTGTGCATGGCAGAGTCAGAGAAACGCCACTGCCTAAGCCCTTTGGAGCCCAGGAAACCATGAGAGAATCCCAGATGTTGGACACAGCTTTTCACTGTTGGACTTTGGTTTTGCTTTGATCTGATTGCAACTGGGCCTTGTCTCTTCCTTTTATAAATTACTATTTTTTATTTTACAGAAGCCCGGAGATGAGAGACTTTGAACTTCTACAGAAACTTTGGAATTTTAGAGAAGCTTTGGATATTTTAGGGAGGCCTTGAACTTTTGAAGTGTTTGAACTTGTAAAGACTGTAGGAATTTTAAAAGTTGGAATGTTTTATATTGTCATATTAACAAGACATCTTGGGGACAACAAGAAAGTCAGAATTGCATTGACATCAAAGACACCATCAAAAAGTAAACTATAGATCATTATTTTGATGAGCAAAACACAAATATTCTAAACAGAACACTTGCAAACAGAATTTAGTAGCTCACTCTAAAAAACAAGCAAAACCAAAAAACAAAAAGTATGTATCATAATCAAGCTGGTGTCATTCCAGGGATACAAGGATGATTTGACATATTCAGATCAGTAGAGTAATTCAGCACATAAATAGAATGAAGGACAAAGGTCACAGGAACATCTTAATAGGAACAGAAAAGGCATGTGACAAAATTTATCATCCCTTCCTGATGAAAACCCTAAAGAAAATGGTTTTAGAAAGATAATACCTCAGTGCAATAAAGGCTGTTCATACAGCGATATGGTAAACAGCATTTTGAATGGGGAAAAAACTGAACAAGACTGAAAAAAATGAGGATTTTCACTCTAATCATTCTTTTTGCTTTTTTGAGACAGGTTTTCTCTGTGTAGTTTTGTGCTTTTCCTGGAACTCACTTTGTAGAACAGGCTGGCCTCGAACTCACAGAGATACACCTGCCTCTGCCTCCCGAGTGCTGGGATTAAAGGCGTGCGCCACCACCGCCCGGCTCACTCTCATTATTCTTATTCAATATAATATCTGAATGTTTAGAGCAATAATGCAAAAGCAAATAAAAAGCATTAACACAGGGAAGGAAGAAGTCAAACTTTCCTGTGTGCAGATTATGTATTCCATACTTAGAAGACTAACAGTCTCCACTAAGAGACTTAGAACTCATTGCTTTCTTACAAATCAGTGGGACACAGAAATAAATTGTCCTTTTTTTTTTAAAGAAAAGTTTTTCTTTTTATTTTTAAAAGAATTTCGCTTGAATTCTGTATTTACATCATTTCTCCTTTAGTTATAATTACACACACATACACACACACAGAGACACAAATGAACACATGTATATATAAACACAGCCTGTGGAATCCATTTGATGTTGCTTGTATGTGTATATGTTTAGACCTGGCTGCTTGGGCAGCAGTCTTTTAAAATAACCAATAACATACCTGCTGAAAAAGAGACAAAACAATCCCACCCGCAGTGCCCTAAACATAGTAAAATGCTTTAGAATAAACCTAATGGAAGAGAAGGAAGATCTCTACAACGAAAGTATAAAACTCAGGAAAAAGAAAGTAAAGGAGACATGGGAAGGCAGAAGGACATCCCATGCTCATGTAACAAAAATGAACCTTATTAAAATGGCCATTTTATGCAGTTCCTGTCAAGGGTAACCGTTATAGAACTTGAAGAGACGGTCCTAAACTTCATGTGAAAGTATAAATTGCTCAGAAGTGCTAAAACAATGCTGAGCAAATAAATAAATAAATAAATTTAAAAAGCAATTCCAGAGGGATCACAATGCCCGATTTCAGATTTTATTACCTAGTCATTGTACCAAAATCAGCATTGTACTGGCACACACACACACACACACACTACATATCAACAGAATAGAACAGAAGGTCCGGAAATAAGCCCACACAGTGGCAGTCATCTAATTCTTGACAAAAAAAAAAAAATGCTAACAATATGTGGGAGAAAAAGACAACATCTATAACAAACGATGCTTGGAAAACTGGATATTCGTATGTTGAAGAATAAACTCACCACACACTTATCTTAGCTCTTTGTAAAAACTCAACTCAAAAGGGATCAAAGACCTAATGTACAAAACAAGCCTGGGTAGATAGTCAGGTGTTTGCTGTGTAAGCGTGGGACCCGAGTTCCGAGACCCCAGGACCCATTTAAAGTTGGAGATGGTCATGGTCTTTGTATATTTGGGTGCAAGGTCACAATAAATATTTTGGAAACACCCCCACCCCATCCCATCCCAGTTTTCTCCTTGGCTTTTCATTCTCTTAACAGATTTTTTTTTTCCACAGCAGCAATTTATTTATTTATTTTTTTTAACACAGTATGATTGTTATATCTAAGGTCTCAATGCCAAGATTTTCTTCCATGTCTTCTTCTGGGTGCTTCTTTGTGTCTAACTGACTTCTATGCCGCATTGTTTTTGACAGGATTTTTACAGAACAAGCTCTCTAACATCTGGGACTTTTCGATTATAACTTCCCTCAGCAGGCAGAGAACAGCTCTGGAAGGGATCATACTCCTCACAGCTGCAGCTTGACCTTGGGTGAAATATTTCCTGTTAGCTTTGTGGCCGGTTTGACCTGGATTGTTATTTTATTTAATTATTTATTTTAAACTGGCTTTTTAGCTTTCTCATGACAACCTTGCTTTGCTTCAAAGGAACCACAAACTCTGGGGATGCAATGGATCCTTTAGAAATGTCAAGGACACCGCAGTTGTAGAAATCCTAAGGTCCTCTTTGTCTCTTCCTCTTCTTGATTTTTCTTTCTCAAAGCATCATCCTAAGGGCACTCAGGGAGTGAAAAGCCAAGACCTGAAGCAACTTTCCTGCTCCACCGCGTTGCGCGTAACCATGGAGACCACAGGCAGGAGCTGGGCCTTGGGGACCCGGAAGGCTTGGAGCCTGCAGTGAATGGCGGAGGCCCTCCCTGCGCTCTCGCGGTGACCGCGCAGGGGTCGGAGCCGAGTCGCCCGCCACCCCGCGGCCACCAGCCGCACCTCCGCTTCTCCGGGCTCCGCCCCGCCGCGCGCCCCGGAACCCTGCTGAGGGCCCCGGGAGCGCGTGCTGCAGGCCGGGCGAGCAGAGCTGGCGGCGGCGGGACCCTCGGAGGCGGGCCGCGAAGCATGGCGACGCGGGCCCGAGGCTTCTTGCTGCTCCGGGGTGGTCTGGGCCGAGGGCCTGCGAGGGTCCCGGGAGTCGCGGAGCGCGCGCGCCGGGGCTTCGGGAGTAGCGGCGTGAGGTAGGAGCCGCGGGAAGGGACCGCGCGTGGGGCGGAGCGCGCGTGCGAGCGGGCGGCGGGGCCTGCGGAGGCCGGAGCATGGAGAGCCTGTGCACCCGGACCGGGGCCCGCGCACCGGGGCTGGGGCTCCGCGTCCTGCTGCAGCCGCGGCGGGTAAGGCGCTCAGGACGGAGGGCGGCGAGCGTGGGCAGCGCGCTTGGACCCTGCCTTTCTTTGTTCGGGTTGTTAGGGTGCCAGCCAGAGCAGGCGTTGTGTAGACAGTTAAGGAGCGTTTCAGTTTCTCTGTGTCTTTGTCACCGGCTTGGCTGAAGTCCTTCCCACATCTGAACGTCTTCATGCTTTCACAAAACTGCCTGGTGAGGCTGGCCTCTCCGCCTTTCCCTGGCTGGCTCTTGCCAACCGTCCGCACGTTGGCCGTCTTTTTGCTTTCGTTGATCTCTTTGGGTTTGGCTGCTGGTGAGGACAATGCAAGGACACGGTGGTGCCCGGGAACACGCCATCCTGCCTCATCTTCCCTGGTCTGTTGGAGAATCCAACCTATGGAACAACAGTTCATAGAGTCTTATCCAGAGCCAGTGAGGTCGGAAAAACTCATTTGTCCACTCTCAGGGATCCCAGTGATGTACTTTCACTACTCTGCTTGGAGACTCACTTGTCCTATATTCACTTTGCGTCCTCCAGGTCCAGCGTAACCCTTGGAGGAAAGTGAGCCATGATGCCATGCTTATCGATGCTGTTTTTAGTTTAACGCCTCATCATCATATGCATTTGGGTCTTAGTCTTGAGTCACTGAAATTTAAAGTATTTCCTGTAGGTTTTACCTCGAAGATGGCTTACAGTGACTAGGTCTATAAAGGATTATAGATGTGAAATGTGTGAAAATGACAGTGGGTCGGATTTCTATTGTTGTACGTTGTCGCTGTGCTGGAATTTGCTGTTTCGCTCTATAGTGCCAGTCTGCTCTGCCCCTGGTAAGGACAGATTATGTAGGGTTCTGTTTGTATTACAGAATCAAAGGAGTTATCTGCTAACGACATTCTAGTTAAATCATTATCCTTGGAATTTTTAGCGCTTCCCTCTAGTAAGGATAATCTTTTTGGTAAGGGTACAAGTTGATTAATGTCTTCATCAGCTCAGTGTCTCTATCGCCCCGTTTGCGCCATGCCCAGTGCCTACCGAATGGGTCACAAACAATAGTCAGAATCCCGATATCGGGTTGTGCTTCATACACAAAAAATCACATAGACATCACCCATCCACTTAGGGAGATTCCCATCTTGTAACTTGTATTTGGGTCTGGTGGGAGGCCCTGGGTTTGAACTCCGATATCACACACACAGAGAAGACATTTAATGGCCTCCTAATAATTAAAAGTAGCCAGTACAGTGGATTTCGGAAGGATGTTTTTCAAAACGTGGTGATTAAAGATATTTCGTTGAGCCTGCCTGTTTTCCATTCTGTTTGGCGTAGATTACAATTAAGTGAAAAGAAATATGAGTTGTAATGGTTTTATTTTTAAGATAGCACTCAACAAGTTAGGATAAGGTGGTATTTTTTGACATTTCTTTTGGCACTGAACACCATATCTGAAGGTGAGGTTGGCTGTAAGCATGAGAAACACCCGTAGACGGGTGGTGTATCTCGGGTGGGGAGGAAAAATTCGGACAGTGTGTTGATGCTTATTGGTGTCTCTTTTCTCTTCTAGGACCAGCAGAGAGAAGAGATTCCATCTTCCAGAGGTCGCCACTGTCTGCCTCCCCACTCAGTCAACTTTTTTAGTGACACCTTCTTTGTCAGGTCCCTCACAGTGATTGTCACAAATTAACATCATTCCTATTGATGTGAAATTTGAACCAGGCTATATTTTTTTATTGAAAATTACCCTTGAGTGTGATAAACTCCCCAATGATATTCACTGTTTTAAATTAACAAATTGTTCACCCTTTTGAGCCTTTATATCCTTAAATGAAAAAAAAAGAATTTTTAAATTTTTTTATATTTCTTGTCAAAGTAGACACCTATAACAATGGAACTTAACTAAATATTCTTTACATGGAGGGTTATTTTTATAAGTTGAATTTCAAGAAATAATATTTTGTAGAATTTGGAAGCTCTATGATCTCATAATATGTACCATTTACCTTACAATGATTTTTCCCTTTAAAGTTCATCTTGAGTTATTTTTGTTTATGCGTGAAAAATTAGAGCTTAATAATTGAGGAAAATTAATGTCAGTACATAGGCCTTTTTAATTTTGAAGCTTCTCTTGTGAAATGAACTACTCACGTGCTCAAAAAGTTAGAAAAGTTAGAAAAAGTTCTTTGTGCTTAAATTATTCCCTCTTTGTACCACTGTGGGACTTCACAAATCAGAAAGGACTTGGATTAAAACAGTGCCTAAATTCTCTCTTTTTTTGAGGGTTTTCTCTGAAGGCTCCTTGTAAGCCCTCCTTCCCATCACCCTGTCCAGGGGGCTTCCCCTCTTGCTTTTTTATCCCTTCCAGGTTGTAAAGGAAAGCCTCTTGTCCCTTTAAAGACCCATTTGTATTGTCTCTCATGTTCTATACTCTCCTGTCTATATATATATATGTATATATATATATATATATATATATATATATATAGAGAGAGAGAGAGAGAGAGAGAGAGAGAGAGATCTATATATATCTCATATATATGCATGCGTGTATATATACTTTTTTCTAAAGTAATATTTGTTTGTTTGTGGCCTTGGAAATGCTATGTAAGTGCAAGAACTAGAGAAACCCTCAGTTTACAAAACATACTTATTTCTCTGAGACATGTGTCACAATGTCGCCCTGGCTGGCCTGAAGCTTTCTGTATGGGCTGGCCTCAAACTTGCAGAGATGTGACTGCCTGTGCCTCCTGAGTATGGGCATTAAAGACATGTACCACTATGCCCGGCCAAAATATACGTTCTTAAACTCTAAGTATAACCAGGTTTATACCTATTTTCTCCGATTCCCTTAATGGAGCATATCTTAATGTAGGATCCCATAGCTAGAACTGAGGGAATCCATGAACCTGGGAGGGAGGTCACTAACATCTGATCAGTTCAACATTTTTTTCCTTGTAAATGTCGGCAACAAATGACACTAATATTATCATCAGTCAGTACTTGTGAGGTTACTAATACACAGAAATCGGTAAGCTACCACAAAACATCATCTATACTCATTACTTTGCTGTTATGGTACTTACTGTAAGACTTACCCCTATGTTTTCTCAATAAAACTGGCTTCCGTGGTAACTGTGTATTCGCATTTGAAACCATTCTTCTGAGAACGTCTCCAAAGATTTCTGCAGATGAACCAGGGGTTCTCATGTATCAAATTCATTTCTGGAAAAGTTGGTACATAAAACTACATGGGTTTTTTTTTTGGTCATTACTAATCCTTTGATTTGACTTTAGGGTTCTAAATTAACAAGCTACAAAATTGACTTTGGAATGAATCATACATGATAGACCTTGCTTTGCTTTATTTTTAAATTTTTATTGATTTATAAATACGTGATTTTTGGTAAAATTGCTTCAAGGTTTGAGTGAAGTACTTAAGGGGGGAAATGAAATGCCTATAAGAAGGTTGTAAACTTAACTTTCATTACTATTCATTTACTTCAAACATACCCCACAAAAGGTCCTATACTATTGTGTTATTACTTTATTAGATTTATTCCATATCTGACTTTGCCATGGTTCCCTTGGATATTTTTAACACAAGCTTCAAATACCCATGTTGTGCCTCAAGGCACACAGTGATTAAGCTGAACTCGCGGAGACCTTAGAACTGTTTATGGTGGTGGTAGGCTTTTTCATCTTTAGAGATCCTAAAGCAGTTCACTGATGCTCCAATTATAGTTATAATTAAACTTGAGTTTGAAATAAGGATTAAGAGCTTGTCAAGTGTCCAAATTAAATGCTCCATTGATCATGACTAAGGTCTATTTTCTGGTACTTATGGAGGAATATGTTGATATACAAAAAGTTGGTTTTCTTGTTTATTGTTCTGCTCTGGTTTATTATATATTATAGACAGTATTTGTTTATAGTAACCATAGTTTAAGAAAGTTAAATTTTTTTAAATGTAAGACAAATAAGCTCATAGAAATATGGCTAACTCTAGATGACTGTCTTCTCATATTGCTCCAGGTTATGTGAGTGTGTCTCCATTATTTAAAAGAGCTAGGAAGTAGAAACATTTTCATAAACTAGCCAGTCAACCCTTCGTCTTACTGTGTAAGGTCAAAGGAGAGCATTCTCATTATATCCATGAGCCAAGTCTGTGTCTTTGGAAGCAATTAAGTGGTTTGCCTAACCTCATTATGGCTCCCACTGTGAGCCAGGCTCACATCCAAGCCTTCTGGTTTCAGCTGAGTAGTTTTTATTGCACAGTGCTGCTCTAACACACACCCTGCTTTCTGCAGTGACTTACTGCTTACTGATAAAGTCTCCCTTAGTGGCTAGCCCAGCAACAGGGAAGAGAGGCTGTGGGGAGAGCGCCTTCCTTGGGAACTGATCCAGATATTCCCGTCATTTCAGGAAGTAGCATGCAAATAAGCAGTCTAAGGGGTGAAGTTGAGTATACTTTTGATGTGGATCAATGACCACTAAAATTTTGACCAAATTGACATATTTCCGAGAATAAAAAGGATTTTAAAATGATAAAAATTATACATTTAAGTTATAGTGGTTCTCAACCAGTGGGTCATGACCGCTTGACAGTCTTGTATCAGATATTTACATTATGATTCATAACAACAAAATTACAGCTACAAAGTACTAATGCAATAGTTTTATGGTTGGGGGTCACCACAACATGAGGAACTGCATTAAAGGGTTGCAGCATTAGGAAAGTTGAGAACCACTGATTTAGAAAATTTATTGTCTTAGAAACATATTATAGAACCTATGAAACAGAATATTTTCAGTGGTATTTTGAAAGTTTATATCCTTATACATTAAAACAAAATTTTCCTATCAGTTTTTAGAGTATTAAATTTTAGTAAGACTAAGTAATTACTCAGTATTTATGACAAATTTGAATCACTTTCTTAATCACACCTTTTAAAATACTGATGATAGATTTTTCTGGGAAAAGTTAAGGCATATACTTAATTTTAAAAGGAAATTTCTTGGCAGTAGTCTTACAAGTTTCAATTTGAACTATTTTCTTTTGACAAAGTAGTAATTTTTGTTTTAAAATTATTTCATCTAAGATGCTAAAGCACTGTTAAG